AAGTTTTAGTATAAATAATAATAAATAGCACAGTATGCTCGAAGTTTTTGTTTTAGAAAAAATGCGTACCACAATTTTGGCGAAACTTTGAACAATTTTCAGAATTTTGCACCAAAGTCTGAAATCTGCATTTTTTTTTGGTTTGTTAGGTAAAGAGCTATACTTTCATAAAAAAAATAATAAACATCAAATAAACAATTCCAAATTTATATGCATATGTATGGGTCATTGTATGGCACCTTTAAAATAAACGGCTCATATTTATAAGTATACATTTAAAACATTAACACGGATTTTTTAATACTACATTATAGGACACCAAGATTATTGCTGAAAGAGCAAATCAAATTTTAAAGTAGGTGGGTAGACGACTTTTCAAATTGCGCACAGGCATACAAGCGTCGTTTTTACGAGTAATGCAAATGTCCTTTGAGATAATGTTTCGGAAATAGGTATGTATTCCGTTATGTTTGCTTTTAAGTAAACAAATTGAAATCATATTCTTAAAATATACAATCTTTATTGGCATCATTACCAGAAACCTGAAAGCATTTTCTATATAAATTTTAAAAATTTCTCGGGTATCTTACAAAACTGCATAACTCTCATATGATGTGTGTAATAGAGCCTTTTGCATTGTTTATAACATTGTGTATTTTTAGGATTGCTTCATAACGAAAATAAATACTACATATTCATTTAATATCATTTTTATTAACATGTACATTAGCGTGGACCGAAAATCCGCTTTTTTAACCGACTTCCAAAAAAGTAGGAGGTTATTAGTTCGTCGGCCGATTTCGATAATTCTTTTTGCATCGGAAAGTTAGTGTCTCAGAGGTGGTCCCATACTAATCTGGTTTAAATCCGATATTTGGATCATGAAATATATACATATATATTTTTTTTAAGTCGTTTTTTTTGCTAAGAATTACTTGTTAGAATTTTGATTGGTAATAGCAAAAATATGCTCCAGAAACAATCTATGTAAAGTTTAATGTGCTCACAAAATAAATATTAATACATATACACATTTTTCTACTAAAATTGCAATTATCTTCGGAAGTATTAGTCCTATATAACGTGATATATCGTCACTACACACGAATAAAGGCGCGCTAGTGTTTTGACGGCGAAAAAAGGCGCGTAAAAAAATTTTGGACTAGGGCGCGCCTAAGAATTGACCAAAAATTGTCATTTTTCGTACAGATTATTTTTAGAGCATAATGAACCATATTTTTGCTATTATCAATTAAAATTCTAAAGAAGTGGATTTTCGGTCGTCGATAATGTACATACATACTATATACGTCGGAGTTCTTAAAGTGCTCCTTCTAAACCTAAGCAACCTAATAACTAAACAACTACATATTTTGTCTGCATAAATTCACTATTCATATGAGATTTCTATATTAATTTAAATTTTAAGCCTACTTTTATTAAACAACGAATTCAAATTTGACAATGCCAATTATTGCGTTCGAAAACACAAAAATGTGTTATAGTTATTCAGAACTTATACAAGTAGACGTTCGATAACGCCAAAAAATTATCCATCACTCAAAAATTGAGAAAGCAAAGTGACAGTTCGTTGCAAGAGAGACGCTCATATTGTGCTGGGAAAATTTTAGCAAGCAAAAATTATCCATCAGAAAACATATGATTACAATTTTTGTAAATAAAGTAATTCCACTTTTTTGGACTTTGGTATTTACTATGATTTTTAACTGACTACTTTGTGATTGTGCTAACTAACTTTTACTTTCAGAAATGTTCCTAGCGTATACTGAACGTTCACTTTTCTTTTTTCTTCAATAGCGGCACCATGAGTTTACGATCTAGTTGCGATCCCGTACGAGTCCGGACTAGTCAGATTTTACTGGAAGTCGATCTCGTACTCGGTTCTCTGACAATTGAGAGGAAACAAAGAGAGTAAATAAGGCCCTCTCTGTCAGAAGTTTTCAGTTTTATTATTTTCGCTTGCGCTCTTGATTGGATTGATAGCTGGTGATGGCTAATTTTCTGATCATCCTTGAATTGGTAAAATTTCTCAAAGCTACATACATATGTATCATTTAACCCCGTCAATAGAGCTGTAGCAAACCCTTTTTATTCGTTACTGAGTAACAGGTACAACCCCTGACTCGAAGTACCGAATCGTTTCTCACATAATAATTTCCTTACTCGCATGTTCCGTATATGTACCATGAATCAATACAACCAACAGATTGTGCGGGAACGAAACTGTTCGTATCGATACTAAAGTGTGTTGCATGAACATACATGTGTACGAACGAACATTTTCTTACGCTAGAGGTTTCGTTGCAATGATTCGTGTGAGTTACAAACAAGTGCTTGTATCAAAAATAACAAGTAAAGTAACGATACGAAAGATACAGGTGTTGATTGGATTAGTAACGAATAAATACAGGTATCCAAATTTTCGTTACTTTTACAGCTCTACTCGTCAATGGTAAATGTGAAACAAACGCTTCGCTATTTATATTTGCTTATTGCTTCCTCGTGGCATTAAAATTTTAAGAAATAAGTATCAACAATTTTTCACATGTGTCGAAAAAACCCGATCAGCCAAAGAGAACTACATACTTCCACAAAAGTTGCGGTATCTTACGCAAATATAGAAAAGCCCTAATCGATTCTCTTTGTAAGGTCCGGTTTGTACAAAAGTCGCTACATCACACACGGAAGAACTAATAGAATTTAAAAACAAACACAGCTTGAGCTACCAGTGAGTACAGTAACGATAAGGAGATTGCCTGTTAGAAGCCCCCCGAAAGTGCCTTTATTCACCAAAAAGCAAATTGCAAAAAGCGATGGAGTTTGCCAGAGCGCATTTCGATTGGCCTATTACGAAATGGCTCAATATTTTGTATGCCGACGAGAGCAAAATGGTACCGCTCGGCTCTGAAGGACATTGCGAATTCGTAGAAGGCCGATACAACCCGAGATAAACGGTGAAAACCGTAAAACACAACATGGCGACGCTTCCATCTCGCTCTCTCTTGACAAAATCGACTCCCTTAGCAAGGCACTGTCTGGGCGTACTTTTCGTACTTTAGTGAGTCAGTGAGTTGCTATTTGGGTGAACTTGAAATTCTTATTTTGAACAATAACTGTCTATTATTTATCTTATTTTACGTATCTTATATTTATCAATAAATTGTAAATAATTATCATAAGCTACAAAAGTTTTTCAGCGCTGCTATTTTTATGAACAAAACTGTATGAAGTACATACTACCTAGAGGCCTGCACGATTACATAAAAAGGTAACATGTTAATAACTGGTGATGCCATCGTTGGCATCATCACCTTAGTACCATTGAAACATTGCGTGTTCGAATACAATGCGAGAGCGCAACGATTAGTATGTAAAAGCAATGCGGCACACTAGCTAGCCCAGGTTGACTAAAACTAAAACAATCGGGGAAAAAAATTTCACCTTTACCAAACCCATTCTCACAAATTTTGGTCAAATCAAGAGAATGAGAGTGATAGGTAATCATATGTATTGATGCGAGCAACCGATGATGGTAATTTTAGGCCCGCCGTCCTAATAAAAATGACCGCATCGTTCGTTTTTACTTCGATTGGTGGAGTGATGTGCTCCTTAATCGAGTTTCAGTAGTCTGAATACTGGTCGTACTGCTGTTGACGATGTCGACGATATCAATTAATAATTGCGATCCCATACGAGTCTGAACTTGCCAGAATTAGCCCGGAATAGTACTGAAGATAGTGTAAATGTTGTTATTAATCACACGATGTCTCGATGCGTCGCTTTCACATCAAGGTAATTGTCAGAAGTGTGATTTAATAACGTACTCGTACATACTAGCATAAGCATGGAAGCCTCTGGCACATACATATGTGCGTATGTACATATTTCAAAAAGATTGAAACAGGAAAAAGTGAAAGAGGCAAGCCAGGAATTCGCGTTATAATAGACGTAACTTATAAGTATCACTTTTGGACAACAATTCTAATATTCAATGAATGTCGTTGTACACACCGTCCACATAATTACTGAAGCTACACTGTTTGAAAATATTTATTTTTAATATTCCGTTCGCAGGCCACGGATAAAATCACAACAAATTTCAAAATTTATCAACTCGACATTTGACAGGTGGGATTTTTTAAACCACAGTGTCCGAATTTTTCTAAGGCCTTGCTCGAATGTGATTTGTGACACCCAACGAAAATTTACCTGTCGAATGGCAATTCTTCATCATTTTCAGAATTTTTCTGATTTCTTGTGGAAAAAACCAGAAATATATATCACTTTGATAACAATAACGACTATAAGAATTACAAAAATGATGGCATTCTTCTTTGAAGTTAACCAAAATTTCTTGGGCGATTCGAGTACCAACTACATATGAAATACTTTAAGATTGAATATAAAAGTTAGATGCCCCTCGAGCCTATGACTCTTTTACACGTTTTAATATCTTCGTTTTCAAGTTTTTGGCATTATTTTGTAGTTTCACACATTTTACAATTACTCTGTGACGTCGATGAAGAGCGGGTTAGTTACTTGCCGTTAAGATTGGTTTAGTAATTTTATTCTCTAAATTATTAAAAATAGTAATAAATTATTATGTTTATGTAGTATATATTATTTACATACAATGGTCGTAATAATTATAGCCCTACCCCATTTTGACGTTTAATTTTTTTTTTATTTCATTTTAATTTTTTTGTCGAATTTGTTACGGGTTTCTTCCATATAAAAATAAATCTTGTATATCCGTTCTATAGAAGCAAATGGAACAAAAAAATCTAAAAACAACCATAATTTTTAGCCATTTGAAACTTGTACTTCGTTCTACTAGAATTTAATGGGCTACAAAACTGCATACTCAGAATCTTTCTAGAAAATCTAATTGAAAAACCCGAAATTTTACGAAAGTTTGTTGATTTTTTTTTAATATTGCACAAAGTTTTAAACTTGGATTTACACGGGTTATGTTAAAGAATGAACTATTATATTTTTATAATAATAATCAAAATTAAATAACAAAGAAAAAATTTTAAAACTTGTCAAAATGTGATGGGGCTATAATTATTACGACCACTGTACGACCTGAGCGCAAACGCAAAAGTAAAATCACGAGTACATACAATTCATTCAAGTTTCGTGATAATACGCACTATGTTTGTATGCAAGTATAAATAAGTGTAAATAATATTTACATTGAGAGTGATTAACGGTGCAATGGTCACGGTCACATACAGTTGATGCACACACGCCGCGTATCCACAAGCAAGCAATTATGATCTTAGTGGTTTCTCAAAGGTAGCAGATGCGCTTCCGAATTGAACACCCACTTATCCAAATCAATCTCTTTGCGATTGTCGCTGAACAAAAGGTAGAAATATTTAAGTGTTTCACTCAACCAAAAACTCTCCATCATATCACGCAGTCTTGTGTTAAAAACATGCTTAACATTGCCAATCGACGTATAACCATAAGCTACTTTAGTGTATTTCTCAAAAGCTTGAAAAATATTCCAACCCATATCCTGATAGGTACGATTGCCCGTCAATGCATAGAAATAATATAGGCTCTCTATAAATTCGGGACGCAAAAGATTGTGTGCATCATTGGGCTTCACGTAAATGTCTTGCTCTTCATTCGCAGTCAATGCAAAATATGATATTTCAGGCGCCAGCTGTGTAGGTTGCCGCATATATGTTTGATAGCAGGTTTCGAGGAGATCGCGCGCGAGCAACAAATGTGAAGTAGGCATTCCAAATTTGTGTCCCAAAAGCAATGTGCCAGGTAGATAACAAGTAAGATGGTCCATCTTCGGTTTGAAGTCTTTCCCATTGATTAATTCACCAATATAGACATGCTGTTCTTTGGGCGTACGACGCAACAGCTTCGTTAATACTCCGTCAATAGCCCGTATATAGTCCGAAATAAGACTGCAATAAAAATGTATAACATTAGTATGCTTTGTATAAGCTTGTGCAATTAAAATAGAATAGGCCTATAAGATAATTAAGGTAGGTTTTTGAGTGAAGCCGTTCTAGAACGCTTACCAAGGAGAGACTGAAAAAATGCTTTCCTGCTTGCAATCTGGAAGCGCTTTTCCTATTTACAATTTACGCGATAGTTTAATTTTATATTATTTATAATCACCGGTTGGAGCACCCCCCTGTCCCTACCTGGCTACGCCCATGTCCCAGCCGGATGCATTTTCGACCCCTTCCGAATTTTCCTGCTGAGTATGCTAGCCAATGAGCGTGACAACCTTTGTCCGACCAATCCCGGAAATCCCCGCATCAAGGATCTTAATACGGAGAGTGACCAGATGAATGCATAAACTGCCCACACCAAGTGCAGTTCTTGTTTTCACCAGCGGTGAGGTTCAGGTAGCCATCGGGAAGGCGAAAGCTTCCAAAGCCATAGGTCCTGACGGAAGTTGCGTGCTTATGCTGGGTCCTGCGGGAGTAGATTATTTAACCAAGGTCCTCAATTTGTCCATGGCGGGCATCTGAAAAAGCGGAAGGGTAGTCTCACTGCTTAAACCGGGGAAACTCGCCAACAAAGGAGAGTCTTATCGCCCGATAGCCCTCTTTTCCCCGTTAGCGAAGACACTTGAGGCCGTTTTACTCTTGCATAACACAAAACAACTGACCCCAGCGAGGTATCAGCTGGGTTCCGTAAACTACAAAGCACAACAGCATTTAACGCCATAAACACTCAGATTACTCGTGGACAGTCCTAATAGCGTTGAATCTGTCAAAGGCGTTTGACACCGTCAGCCGCTCCACGCTACCAGACGATATTGATGCTTCCCCTCTCCCCAAGGGACTCAAACGGTGGTTGCCGAATTATCTGACTGGTCGACATGCGTCAGTCATTTTCACATTTTCAGACCCAGAAAACCGACGAAAATTAAACAGGGTGCCCACAGGGTGGTTTCCTTTCTCCGCTGCTGTTTAATTTTTCGATGTTAATGTCGCCTTAACACCACCTTCACGACAACGTCCAGATGCTCCCCATAGGGAGCATAAGACAATGCTCTGCAAGCAGTTTCCAGTAAGGTACCACAGATGTGGGCATCCGAGCAGACAACTGCTCGCAGAAGAGCACTCGCCAAGGCAGAGGTGCATTAAGCAACCTCTGGACCCAACTACATACCGACAGGCTTTAAACGGCATTCACAGCGAGTCGGTCTTGAGTTATATAGACTCCGACCTGCGAATACAGTTTTGGGCACACCCGACGTGACGAGACAGAACTTAGACTGCCTCGGAAGACTCGCATCGCTCCACAATATCCCAACTTCGCTGTGGCTACTGCAGCAGGCTAAACTCGCACCTGAGCAGAGTGAACGCAGATGTGTCCAATGAGTTCCGGGCATGCGGAGTGTCGCCACAAGACTTACGGTACCTCTTCGCATGCCCCCAAAAACCCCACCCAGCAAACGCCCCTGTCTCTATGGACAGACCCGGTGTAAGTTGCACACTTCCTGGGCCTCCCCTTAGTTGAGGCTGACGACAACGTTAACGGACAAGCCGACCCGATCGGGGTTTAGCAGACCAGGGATCGATCCCTGGACATTCCTAGTGATTTTGTTCGATGCGGCGCAATGGCCTTACCGGCCGTTGAACTACTAATACCAAAAATTGACAACAATGGTAACGGTTGAAGTAAGGTTTAACCCCTTAATTCCCCTTTGTTTGTTTATCGCTACTATGCAGAATTCTATAAACTGTCAGTTTTCACACTATTCAAAATACAAAACGCCTTACTACTCTTAAGTGGCTCCTGTCTCTTACGATCTGATCTATAAAACGGTATAAAGATCCGTAATCTAATACTGTATAATATGTATATGCACTGAGGGAAATAATGTATAGTAAAAATTAATACTTTATATTTGATTATCGTTTAAAAATGTTCGAATTTAAAAAGAATATTTTCACATCTGAGTATATATCGACTGCTAAGTGGAAGATCGACCTATCCCGGCAGCCAGTTCGAAAACGCCCTATCTCAAAAAACTTTTCAAAAACCTCTTATTTCAGAATTTGGTTGAAGAACGCCCTATTTCAGAATTCGTTTCAAAAACGCACTATCTCAGCTGCCAATTCAAAAACGCCCTATATCAGCACATTTTCAATACATTTTGAAGTGAGATAGGGCATTTTTGAATCGAATTCTGAAATTGGGCGTTCTTCAACCAAATTCTGAGATAGTGTTTTTCAATAAGATTCTCAAATAGGGCGTTCTTGAGAAGTTTTTTGAGATAGGGCGTTTTCGAGCTGGCTGCCGACATATTTACACCTTCGAGGTACTCAACCTCCACCGATTCTGATGAAAAGAATGAGGAGTTTATGCAGATGTTGGCAATTTAGTTCCAAGGGGCTCTCAGACTAATATAATCGAAAAAAGTACTTACAGTCTGAATTGGTATTTGTTTAACATAATAGTCACAAAGGAACCGTTAGGCATCTCACCTATACAAACATATACATACATATGCATATTTTTTGTAAATGAAAATTGAGGTTCCTTTCTCGATATAATTTCGAAAGCTAGTAAGAAATTTGATGAAAAAATGTCGAATTTCGACAACTGGGCGATACTAGTATGTATAATACGGCTTAAATTACTAATTTACTTGCTAAAATCGAGAAAATCAGAAAATTTCTAGTGCAACTCGCACAACATATACATTTTATTAAGGTGTACCTTCTTGAGCGGTCAGACGTTTATCGGTAGATTCTGAGGAATAAAAATACAGGTACTAAACAATTGTGCCAGTTATCAAATGCGAGAAAAAAGGCTACTCACAACTTTAACTGAATTTCGCGTATTTTATAAAAAAAAAAGGTGAATTTTCTTGTGCTGGTCGTTGGCAGGTACTTATTTTACATTTGTGGGTATGAAATACACATACTTCTTTACTTCTTCAGAAGAAGAATCCTAGGTTATAGGAGAATGTGCTACTTATCATTTCCGAAGAATCGTCTTGATAATGGTTTCTCGTTGAGCACAACCAATCAAAGGCAAACAAATTCATAAGTATTTGGGTCTGCGTGAAAAATGCAATACATAGGACCCACGGTACTGATTTCAAATTGGCCGGGAAGGACTGTAAAACACTCCCGATAAAACCAAAACCTCCGCAAATTAAGAAAATCTTCCTTAGAAACGAATATGTAATATGCACTTTTTATGTTTCATTGGGACGAAAACGAACAGCAAAGCAACACAAAAAAAAAGAAGATGGCAGGATTTCACTGCCAGAATTGTAGGCGACATATTTCCTGTTTCATATAAGTTTGTAGGCAACTGTGAAAATTTTTGGAAAACGACAGTGACCACATGGAATATTGTCGACAATCGTGCTGCCAATTGTCACTCTGAAAAAATTATCGCAACAATGGCGACAAAACCAAATAGCTCCGTTGGAAAGCTTTCACAGGATTTTTTATATGGTAATTTCGCGCATTTCATTATTTTTCAATAATGTGAATATTTCTTAAAACTAAAATAATGCAAATGCAATTATTGTATATGATTTACATATAGATTTCATATGACTGGCGACAGTTTTAAGCCTGGACAATGACAATTTGTCACTTTTTCAATGGAATTTCTCATGGGGCGTTCTTCAACCAAATTCTGAGATAATGCGTTTTTCAATCAAATTCTGAAGTAGGGCGTTCTTACAAAGTTTTCTGAGATAGAGCGTTGTTGAGAAAATTTCTGAGATAGGGCTTTTCGAACGGCCGCCGAGATAGGTCGATCTTCCACTCAGCCATCGACATGCTCCTTATTTTGATTTTACATTCGATAATTCGAGCAAAATTTAGATATGTATCTCAACGAAATTTGGTACAAGGTTATCCCTTCATCCCAGGTAGGTATTGAATATGGGTGCAATCGGATGGTAACCACACCCACCACCTATATGATGGCATTTTAGAAAAAATCCCAAAATAATGAAATTTCCGTAAGGACTTCATCCCAATCGCTGGAAATTGGAATTTGAAGTAGTTCCCACGGCACCATGAATTACTTTGTTCGCTTCCCCAATTACGATCGCGAATTATCCCATTCCCACCGGCACATTCTTAATTCGATTTTACAGTTCTCTGACTCTGTTTTTTTCTTGGCTGCAAAATTGATGCCAAATGTAAGTTATTGCTAAAAATTTATAAGTTTCCGTATAAAAGTGCTGATGTACACATGTATAAACTTTACTTTTCATACTCAGAAAAAGTGCAAGCAATTCGTTCGTAATTCGCATGGTAATTGGATCTGAATTACCAACAATGGAGATAATTCGCCCTCAAAATGTTGTACGGCGAATTACGTAATTCGAAGGTGGAGTGCGAATTACGAATGAGAGAGCGAACTACATAATTGTGGTGCCGTGGGAAAGCCGTATAAACTTTTGTGAAAATCGGCGTGGCACCGTCCATTTATGAAGAATTGCAGTAAGTGAGTAATCACTACATCAACACCCACCAAACTCGGGACAGAAACCTGTTAAAATATTTTGAAATCGGACAGTAACAACATGCAACTTCCATATAACAGGTCTATTCTGCACGTTACCGAAGATTTTGTAACCGGAAAATTTTATTACCAAAAAATGTTACCAGTTCTTGTCACCGCGATTCTAGGAACGTTGGTTATGCAGTTAAAATATTCAGCAATTCAGCTATGAAGAATTGTGCAAATTCTGGCATTGCATATTTCACGGGGCAATACTTTGTTACCAGCTTATGAGATGGTAAAAAAATTTACCGGTTACAAGAATACACAGAATGCGAAAAGGGTTTAAAAATTCACAGGAACTTTATTTGCCGGTTACAAACTTTTTATTACCAGCGCAGAATAGACCTGTTAGGGTAATTTACAGAAATACGGAAACTGCGATAAATCGGCAACTAAATAAGTTAATTCACTCAGAGTAGACGCTTGCATTAATATTTAAGCAATAAATGAGAAGCTAAATTTTTGAAATCCGGAAAAAACACTCTTCTTATAATGTGGTATTTAGAAAGGTTAAAAACGACATTTAATACGTGCGCCAGGTATATAAAGTTCGGTTTGGCGTACATTTATACTTTTTACTGGTTTAAGTTGCAATCAACTGAATTATGTAGTTAAGAAATTTAAGTAATTGAGTACTTCATACAATTAATAGCGATCCTGGAAAACAACATAATAAAAGACTTCACCAAAATATTCAACACTTACAAATCATCTCTTTTTCGTCCAGTTTGTAGCCATTGTTTTAAAAGGTACTCATAATAGGAGTCACCGCGCGCACCCAAGGATATTGTGGCAT